GTTTTTTTTTCTTTTTCCTTCTATTCATTTTGTTCACAGTCTGATTTTGCTGTAAGACAAACCTTAATTGCATTAGCATGTTTTCCTAAAGTTAGACATCTCTGCTTGACCCAGTCACAAATCCTTCAGCCTTCTGCTCTTCATGTAGGGCTAAGGTTAGAGACTCTGGTCCTGTCCTGGGGAGCACAGAGGCAGGGAGGCTCCAGACACAGCGAGTCCATCCAGTGAGAGAAGAGGCCGGGAGTGTGGGCAGCGAGGCTCTGGACCCAGCATGTCAGTCCACGTGGGAACACAGACCAGGGGTGCGGGCAGCAAGGCCCCATCCACATCAGAACACAGACCAGGGGTGCGGGCAGCGAGGCTCTGTCCACATTAGAACACAGACCAGAAGCGTGGGCAGTGAGGCTCTGGATGCAGTGTGTCCGTCTGTGTGGGAATACAGATCAGGAGTGCGGGCAGTGAGGTTCCCTCTGGTCTTTGGAGTTGTATGTTCTGTCTTCAAAGAGAGTTTGAGCTGGGGTGGGACACCCACACAGAAGGAATGCCTTGTCCCTCTCTCCCAGGCTTCTGCTGGTTAGCGGGTTGCCAAAGCGGAATCCTGCATGTGGACTAGGGTTTTGCTTACATCCTGTTTTTTAAAGTTCTTTGTGATCTGGTAAAAATCATACCTCATAAAAAATAAAGTTTATTGTAAACAATTTTTATTTATTTTTTTTGCTTAAATAACTTCTCTTAATGAAAATAGTGTTAAAAATAAAGTACCAAAGAATTATGGACCAACCCACACACCTTGTGACTATAGAATAAGGTGCCTGAGGCGTTGTCTGTTGGCATGGATGCAGGGACTAGAAGCATCTGTGTTCCTGCATCAGAGTTAGGTGCCCGAGACATCGTCTGTCGGGACAGATGAGGGACTGGAAGAGTCTGTTCCCCCATCAGAGTAAGGTGCCCGAGATGTCGTCTGTTGGCATGGATGCAGAGACTGGAAGCGTCTGTGTTCCCGCATCAGAGTAAGGTGCCCGAGACGTCATCCATCGGCACGGATGAGGGATGGACGCGTCTGTGTTCCCGCATCAGAGTAAGGTGCCTGAGACTACACTTGTCAGCACGGATGCAGGGGCTGGAAGCGTCTGTGCTCCCCCATCAGAGTTAGGTGCCCGAGACGTCGTCTGTTGGCACAGATGAGGGGCTGGAGGTGTCTGTGTTCCCACATCAGGCTCTCACTCTGTGCCGGCAGGTGCAAGCACACAGCCCATGCCCTGTGCCACGCTGTAGATGCAGAAGCTGGCCGTGTGCTAAGGGGTGCTGAAAGCAAGTGGGCAGCTGTAGGATAAAAGCCATGGAATGTACTAAATTTCTGACAAAATAAGATTACTTTAGTTCCACTGAGTACTCTGATACCCACATAACTTCAAAACCTGCACACATCATCTCCACCTAAAGTCTCAGAAAGCAGAGTCTCGGGGTGTAGCCCCACGTGTTGTGACTTTTGTAAGCATTTCCCAAGGGAACTCATGACAGCCCAAGCCTGTGAGAGTCAAGAGCAGTCATCGTGCCATGGGGTTTGTGGTAGTCTCTTCAGTTGTATCTCATCCTGATCTGTGGCATTGGTGCACAGAAGGAACCACTATCAGTGCTCAAGCTTGGTAACTGCTTTGGTTACTTAGTGCTGCTCTGACAGAAATACACCCCAAATGGAATGGCTTGAATAAACAGGAGTTTATTCTCTTATAATTTTGGAGGCTTTAAGTCTGAGTTCAAAGTGCCAGGCCCTCCTGCTCCCAGCCCACTAAAGCTGTAGGCTTTTCTTCACTCAGACAGCTGTTGGCTGCTGAGGCTGGCAAGCCTAAGGTTGACAAGTAAAAAGGTGTAGTCACAATGTTACCAAACAACATGGCAGGCCACTAATTGAAGTCCAGATGAAGTTCCAGGGTCAGCAGGACATGACAGGCTGTTGAACAGTGACTTGGCTACAGCAGGGTTCAAGCGTGCCATAAGCTAGAGAGCTTCCTCAAAGCTGCTGCTTATCTACGGGAAGCAGCCCCATCCCTAAGGCAGCTGCTCAGCTGCTCCGGTAGGTTCCACCATGGAGTTGATGACCAGTCTCATCGTGGGGAGCACTACATCCAGCTGCCCAGCCACTCAACCAGGCCCGGCCAAGTTTGCATGTAACTACCACAATTCCATCCCTTGTCAACTTGGCACTTGTACAGATCTTCAATGGGTGGCATCTGTACAGATCTCCTTCACGGGGTGACTCTAGTCCCCTAGTTCCTGAGTGGCAACCTCACT